TACAGATTTCAATATATTTTTCAATTACTGTAGTAGGTATCTCATTTGAAAAAAAAACAATATTTTAATTTAGTTATTACTTATTATTATTGTTTTCAATCTCTTAAAGAAATATCCAAAGTACATTTTTATTTTTCATAGTTAAAATATAACTTAATTTATCACTACAATTAGTTGTATAATTGTATTTAATTAATTCATATATACCCCCTTGCTCAGTTATGCCACATCTTATACTACCTATATTATATACCATAAAAAAAGAATTACATACCAATTTTAATTTTTTAGTCGGGGGAGAGGACTCATTTTTAGCAATAGGAGCCGGATCATCTGGATCAGAATTTGAATCAAGTTGTGTTTTTCCCTATAATAAGAAAAAAGTAAATAAATATACCTACCTACTAATTACTTACTAATTTTGTAAATTAAATATGTACCTAACTTTAAAATATTATATTAACTGTACGTATGTATTTTATATTTTATTGACTTACCTTTGTAATTCGAATAATAAATTTGTCCATTGTAATTGTTTTAAATAAGTTAGTGAAACGAAATAAATAATAATAAATTAATAACTAATAAGTTATAACCAATAAATAATTTAAAAATTTAAGAATAAAGACATTTTCTTCAAAGCGAGTTCGGTATAAAATAAAAATAGTTAACAAATACAAACTACAATGTTTTATTATTAATTATTGTTATATTATGGTAAACTGTACAGTGACACAGCGTACACGATATAATATTTAATGACAAAATTATTTTCAGTAATGCATATGACCGTACGTCTCGGCGTCCGTCGGCGATCGTTATCGATAAGCTTATAATTTTAGATGTAATATATATATATGTATGTTTAATAAATATAGATCCATGCAATGAAGTTAAAAATAGATGTGTAAAATGTATAAATAATAACCGTTCCTAATAAACGTGATAACAAGGAAATATATTTAGTATTATTGGTTACTGGTTATTGTTTATATTATACTTATTATAACTATATAGTATACCCGTATACTTGCGTATCACAAATTATATTATAAGTATACGCATCAACCAAAAACTGGAGAAGTCGTTATACGCCGTATACCCGCGTATACGCTCCACTACACCACTGATTACATGTTACATCATATTACATTTTACTCAAAAAGTAATGATAATCTCCTTTTGTTAGAAGCAAATAAATCAATTTTTTGATTAAAAAAATTTTCATTATCATACCTTTGGCGGTGTATATTAATTAACCCTAAGCTACTCAGTCTTTCGTTTTCCATCCTATTTCTAACCCATGTCTTTAAACGGCGTAAAGTGCTGAAACATAATAAAAAAGTTATTGTTAAATATGAATTTACACACAGAATAAAATTTGTAAAAATATTTATTTAAAAACTTTACCTAAACGATCTTTCTACTGAGCAGGAAGTTACAGGTAAAGTAATTGAAATTTGTATTGCTTGGCATACCGCTGGGTAATATGTGGCGTAATCGAGAATATCAATTAATTTCATGGTGGGTTCAACTTCTTTCTTTTTCCATAGATTATACCATGACAGTGTTTGCTCTTTAAAATTATCTAGAAGTGAACCATAAAGTGTACAAATAAATTCAACACTTTCTGCAAATTGTTGGTCGCTCATTAGTTTCATTTTTTTTGGGTGTAGGTTGTATAATGTAAATATTTTTAATTTTTCATCTGAAAATCTATCTTTGAGAGACATTATAACTGATTCTAATTATGGTATAAATAAAGATTGTCTAAAATATACCTCCACATCGTTAGTTGGATAGTTTTACGCCGTGATAACTTTAACTCAAGATCTATTTTAGAAACAACTAATTTTACTTCATTAAATATTGAATTAAATATATTCTCACATTTATTACGGTCTATTTTTAACATTGATAATAGGTCTTGAATATGTTTTGTAGCTTCTTGCAGGTCAACATCTATCCTTTGAAGAACTGTTGATACAGTTTCAAATTTTGCAGAATATTTTGCCATGATTAATAACGTTACAACAAATGTTGGAGTAGTGATTGCATTAAGTATTTCATTAGCAACGCTGTCTAGTTTTGCTGTTAAAATTATTAGATTTTGATATTTCTTCCAAGCCTTCAACAATAGTAACATATTGGTCCTTAAATTTTCTGATACATTTATGTTTTTCAACAAACCTTGTTTCGCATAATTTTGGCAAATTATTCCCTACAATATTTCTACGAAGTGCACTATCTCTAAAGGTACGGTTTCCCTGCAGCGTCCAGACGCGGCGTCTAGACGTGATAGAACGCCGCGTCTGGACGCAGCGTTTACCCTGTTTTCTCTGTAGCGTCGGACGCCATAGATTTTATTATTTTATCCCACTCTTTTAGTTTGATTTTACAAAATTAAATCATAACCACTGCGATCGTTGTCTCTTCCGCACGTGTTTCCACATATAAGTTCTGATTTTTTATTTTTTCAAAATGAATCAAAATTTAATTTTGAACAGTATTATTAATAATAATAATATTATTTGTGAGTTGTTACTTCGTGATGAAGAAATGGAAAATGAGTTACTAATGAACATTATTCCAAAAGAAAGAAAACATTTTAACAGTTTATTTTCCACGAGGAACTCTGAAGGATTCTTTAAAAATTTGATTGGTGGACATCTTATTAACGACGATGAAAAATTTCGGGAATTTCTTCGTTTAAATCGTAAACAGTTCAATTTTATTTTATCTTTGGTTCAAGAAGAAATAACAAAGAAACCGACATTACGTGTACCTGAGCCAATATCTCCAGAGGAAAAACTAGCACTTACTTTAAGGTAAAATTTGATATTTATTTTTAATAAAAATATAATAAATTAGACGACGATTTAAAAAAATGTATTGATTAGTACCTAACCTAATAAACTATTTTATAAATCTTAAAATGTATAAACAATATATTTACAAATATTGGTGATTATACAAAATAGTTAACTATTTTACAATCCTGTATGAAGTCGATGATGATGGGTACATTTGAATTCAATGATATAAAATCATTGTATACGAAAAACGATTCTGAGCAAAGACACTCTGTTAGCATACACAACCTATTAAGTATATTATATGATAGGTATTATTCCTATTCAAATGATTTTTTTTTTCTATTAGTAATAGAGTAGGTTAAATTAATTTTTTTTGAAAATATCATTCTGTGTTTAAAATATATCATAATACTTAAAAACTTTCTAGACCTACAAATAGTATTATTCAGTAACAAAAAAATAACTAAAATCGTAAATTAATGCCCCAAGTGGAGGTGACAGACACAATACATTATTACATTCATGCTCAGAAACTAAAATATTTTAATATTAATTATTTTTGTAAAAAAATTATATTAAAAAAAAATTTAATCAGTTTAATTAGCTTAAATAGGTTATTTTCATAAGTATACCAGTTATATATTCCAATTTATTTATTTTTTTTTTTTAGGTTTCTAGCAACAGGAGAATCCTTCCGATCTTTGGCATTTTCTTTTCGTATTTCCCACAGTTATATTAGCATAATAGTGAGAGAAACTTTAGCAATTATGAAACAAAAATTAATGCCATTATTTTTGCCTGACCCGTGTAAAGTTGACTTCAAGACTAAAGCAGATGAATTTTATCAGAAGTGGAACTTTCCTAATTGTATACTCGCTATTGACGGAAAGCACGTTAGAATCCAATGTCCAAGTAATTCAGGTTCTTTATTTTTTAATTATAAAGAATATTTTTCTGTCGTTTTGTTGGCTATGGTGGACGCAAACTATAAATTTATAGCTATTGATGTCGGATCGTTTGGGAGAGAAGGGGATAGTGGAGTTTTTTTGAAATCCAATATGGGACAACAAATATTGAATTGTACATTTGGATTCCCTGCGGATTGTGCACTTCCTGGTACTGACATAAAAGTTCCACACGTCATACTTGGTGATCAGGCTTTCAGACTGCACAAACATATTTTAAGACCCTTTTCACAAAAGTCAGCTAAAGGAGACAGTAAAAAAACAATATTCAATTATCGACTCAGCCGTGCTCGACGAGTTACGGAGAATGCTTTCGGACTATTAAGTATTCAGAATATTTTTTCAACCCATTAATATAAATACAACAACGTGTGATGACTTGATAATCGTAGCATGTTGTTTACATAATATGTTACGAGACGCATATTTAGAAAACAATGGAAAGGTATTTTATCAATTGGATTCAGAAGAACCTCTTAATGCTAACATGACGTCTTTGGCCAAAGAAAGTGGATTTTTAAGTACAGAAGGCGTCGCAGTGAGAGACATTTTTAAAGAGTACTTTGTTAACGAAGGAGCTGCAACGTGGCAAACATGAAATTTAATTTATAGTTTCATAGTATTATTATTCACCCATATTATATTTTATATTGTCATTATTATTATTTATTATACTTAATTATTAATACAAACTTGTAATAAATATGTTTGTGTTTACCCACGAAAAATGTGTTTTATTATTATTATTTATGATTCTAATTTCTACATATAACATATTATATTCTGTAGTCTGTACCTATTTATATTCAGAAAAACCGTCTTAATATCCTATAAACTAAATAATATACTATTTCGTTTGATGTTAATTCTCATTTTTATATTAATAGACGTATTTATATTTGATTATTTCAAACGATATTAATTCGATAGCGAATATACTATAGAGCTACAAAATAAGCTATAAATCTAATATACTATCTATAGTACCTTATAGTAGTAATATAACTTCTTTAAAATAACAACAAAATATATTTTAATTTAAACCAGAATTTTGGTTAATTTATTGTTTCTAAATAAAATCAACAAACAATATTGAATAAAAACAAGTGAATTTTAAAATATAACAAAAGTAAATAAAAATAAATAAAAAGTAACTGTTATACAAATAAACTTATTGTAAGCACCAACTATTTAAAATTAAAAAAAAAAATTTTAAAGGTTAACCATTAGACTCGTCACCATAGTTGAACGGCAAAAACCCTTGTGATGTTGATGTTGAGGTACTGTATGAGCTGGCTGGTGAACTCAATTGGCGTTGGTACATATTGTTATAATCTGGTGGTATTTGATACGGTAGTGTTGGACGAGTTGAATATTTGTCATCTATTTCAGTGATCAACGTAAGTGTCTTAAGTTTTGCTTCTTTGATCGCTTGCTGTGGCATTTTTTTAACCGTCATTGCAATACTTTTAAAAAATATATCAATTTCATCCTCTTCACACAGGTTTTTCATGCTTGTAGCTAACAGTTTATTTTGTTCTTGAATGCATAGTATGGTATCCTTCGTTTCCTTTGATCGTTTTGCTAAAATGACAGAAATCTTATCGTCTTTTGACCGAATACGTTTTCCAGCATATGAACTTGATGGCAAATCGGACACAATATTTTCTGTTTGTTCTTCATCGTTTTGTATGATTTGTTGGACTTCAGGTTCAATTTCGTCTGTAGTAGACGCATTTGACGTATCAGCATCATTTATGCCCATATTTGTTATAGTACTGAAGTCAAAATAATTCAAATATAATATTAACTATAATGTTATGATAATACATTTATATAATTTTATATATTATTATTAATTAGTTTTTTTGGTTTACATTAGGATGTGCCTTATTGGCACACCCGTAGATCCACCTATGTAATTTCTTATATAACTATTATGAATCAATTTTATAACATAATATAACTTTTAAGTACGAGCATACCTTCTTTCGTATTCAACGGTGTCCAAAAATGATAAATTCATTGTATATCGAGGTTTTTTATGTGGAGCTGCTGATCCTGTCGGAAGTTTCTTTTTCTGTTTCAAGTACGTGTCTCTTATATTTTTCCAGCGTTTTCTACAGTCATCGACTATACAATAGGTGGAAGGAGGACAACGAATAAATAATTAATATTAAAATAAAGTTTGTATGTTAGTTACTACTATAAACTATAAATACTTAAGAATTATATTTTCAATACGTACTTGATCTTCCTACTTCTCCGGATATATTTTTCCAAATATTATCCTTAACATAATTGTCTTTATGTTGTTTATGGCTACTATCGTAAATACATTTGTTATTTTCCACAAGTGTAATCAAAGCTTCGTCCTCTGTCGAGGAAAATGAAAATTTTTTTGACATGTTGACGCCGGGCGTCTTGACGCAACACTGGTCCGGACCGGTACTGACGCCGGACGCCGCGTCAAACGAATAGACGCGCCGCGTCAAACGCGAGTAGCGAAACCAGTCACACACAAAATACATAATCTAAGGTCTCGGCGTCAGACGCCGCGTCCGGACGCCGCGTCTGGACGCTGCAGGGAAACCGTACCTTAACAAATGTATTAACTTCTTTTATTTTCCCTACACAATTTCTAACTTCGGCAAGATAATTCAAATCATTTATTACCAAATTCAAACGATGACTAGCGCAATGGAAAAAATTAGCCATGGGATACACATTATTAATTCTTTTTTGCACTCCAGATATATGGCCAGCCATCGTAGCACATCCGTCGTACCCCTGTCCAACACATTTATTCATATCAATATTTAGGTTAGTACATGCTTCTAATATTATTTGAGTAATAAATGAGGCATCAAACTCTTGTAAGGGAAAAAACCCTAAAAATTCTTCATATACATTTTTATTATACAGATATCTTAAACAAATTGATAACTGCTCAGTACCATTGATGTCAGCCGTTTCATCAACAATTAATGAGAATTAAAATGCTTGGATAGCTTCATTGGTAATCATAGATCTTAATTTAGAAGATAAACATTCTAATAATTCATTTTGCACACGGTGTGATATGTACAATGCATATTTATCGGATTTTTCTAAATGAGTTTTTAAAGTCAAATCACCAGCATCAACTCTGAATTTTAATAAGTTATTAAATACTGCAGTGTTGTCTGTATCTCCTCGAATCGGTAAATTATGTATTGCACAAAATAGAAGTGAAGAAATTATTGGCTTTAATTTATTTCTATTTTTTTCAATTTTATTTTTATAACAAGAATCTAACACTTGGTTAATACCACGGTTTGTTTTTTTTCATATCTTTGAAATCTTTGGATCGTATGAAAGATTCAATATGCCATTTATTTTTCTCATGTTGATTACCTACTTACGTAGTCTTAAAAAAAAACCTTACAGACAATTCAACTGAACATGAAACATGAAACCATTTTTAATGCATTGTATGCCAAGCAATTTAATGAGTGTTTATACATTAATGTTGAATTGTGACAATGTTGTATAATACACAAGTGGTCTAAAATCAGGTCGTAGGACTTAGTATAGGACTAAGAATACAGAATATGATTGATAACTAATTGATACATTTTTATTGAATTAATTGTTGTGTTCCAAACATCACATGTATGGAGATTAAATATGTAAACATTTACGTATTCTATTTTCACAATTAATTATTTTTGTGCAAATGAATATCTATTACACTAAGTACAAATAATACCAACATCAACGTTCTAAAATGTAAGTTAATTATTTAAATACTATTCATTTAATTTTATTATCTAAAAATAGGCTTGTTATATGTAAGCGTAGCATATAGTTATTTAGTAATATGATATGTATAGTGGCGTACGTGACTACGGGACCGGACGCGCCACCAGGAATCTGCCGATTCAGCAATTCCTACTTTGGCCGTTGCACAGAGAGGCTCCCTGGTCACGACCGCTCCGGCAGTCGTTACGCGAGACGCACTCAAGCAGAACCTCATATGATTAATCAGAAAGTCTATGTATTAAATTAAGCATCTTTTTAAGTTTATAAGTAAATCGTAATTCTATAATAATAAACCTATCTTAGAATCTATTATTTTAACCGTCTAATTCTTTCGCAACGTCCTGACTTCCTTTTACCCACGTAATTAACGCGCCGGTACACATCAGGCTAAAAAAAGGTTTAAATTATTTTTCAGGATATCAATTTTAATATTTGAAATAACTATGAATGTATTAATGGAATTATTAAAATTCAAAAATCAATATGTCGTCATCATTGAACATTTTGTAAAATCAAGTAAAATTAATTTATAGTTGTTGTTATAGTTATTTCTAGTTTATTTATTTTTTTTTTAATTAATTATATTATTTTAATGTAGTGTTGTAGTGATAAAGTATTTCTAATCTAAATAGTTGAATAGATGAATGTTGGTACTTAACTTAATTTATAACAAATTAATATTTTATGAAAAAAAGTTTTTAGTTAGGTATTTTTAATATTTATCTAGATTGTATGTATAACTTTTTCCTATTAGTATTAATACTTGTGAATAAAATACCTACCTTTAATGTTACAAAATATTTCACTTAATATTCAAAATTAAAATTAAAAAAATATTATAAAATGAGTATTTAAGCATATTATATAATAATTTATTACCTATAAATGGTTTTACATTCTACCTTCTACACTTGAAAAAAATACCTCATTCATCCATGTTATTTTTGAGGTACAATAATAATACATGCATTCTTTTTCAGTTTAAGTAATATATGTACTTAATGCTTTTGGAATTATGGCTTTATTTATTTGATTTCGAAATGTATTTTACATTTACACTAATACTTTGCTAATGCAATCCGTTAAGTTAATACTAATATTTGTTTAGTTTTTTGAATAAATATAGTCTATACTCTCAAAAATACAGAACTATATAAATTATAGTAATTATACTATAAAAAGAATACCTCAAAATAACACTATTTAAATTATAAATTACTTACTACTTACCCTAAATATCAGATATGATATTAATCAGTTCACAATCTAAATTAAATAAAATACTTTTTAGAATATATGTATTAATATTTATTTATTATAATGATTAATAAAGATGTTATTCCCAATTTTGTGGCCAGCATTTTGGAATTTGAAAATATGTTAATTTCCCTTTTTTACGGTCAATCACAGGACACCATGGATTGTTCTATAATTCAAAATGTAATACATATTTTATTGAAAATGTATTTATTATAATTCAGGTAATTTCTGTATACCTTATCACCACCTTGCCAATAAACAAATCTTGACTTTGCCTTTCTAATAAGGTCCTTCAAATTTAGGGATAATAATATATCAATAAAGAAGAGTGTTTTGGACACCAACCATTCTTTACATTCCTACCATCAACATTATAATATTTTTTTAGGTTACATATTTTTTTACTGTGTTAAATTATTAATAACATGTTTGTAAAAATGCATTATTTAACTAAGTTCCTTATTTACTAAGACAAAACTTATATCACTACACTCAGATTTTTCTTCCAAACTAATTTTACCTAGTTTTGCACACACTAACTTTTCTAAAAAATCAATTTTAGTTTGTATGCGCAGCAACTCATGTTTTTCAACATAACGTTTCTAAAATTTAAAAAATTTTAATTTCATAAGAATTTAAAGTACATTTTTGTGTTAAATAATAATGGGACTACCGATTCATTTGGATCATCAATATTTTTAACATTAGTTTGACCTTTTTCCAATTCCAAGCCAACTAATTTTTGTTCAAGTGTTGCCTATAAAAATATTATAATAAGCATACTTTTTAATACTTGAGTTATTCAGAAATTAAAACCTACCAATTTAACCTTATACTCTTGATTTACCGATTGAAGTTTTTTCTGTAAAACATTTAAAACGTCGTTATTTTTTTATTTGTTAATAGCTTTAATTTTAGTATAATATTTCTTTTTTTGTAATTTTTAAATACTTACAACTTTTTCATTTGAAAAATTAATTTTTGCTTTTAATGTGTCCTACAAATATTTTATTATAATTAGTATGTATAGTTTTTACAATACAAAATTAAATAAAGATTTTAGGTTACTTACAATCTCACTGGTAATAACTTATTTTCATTTTCCAATGCCTCGTTATCACCTGAAATACCTTTCAGCTCAGTCTTTTTATTATTTAATTCATAAAGAACTGATATATATTGCTGTATAAAATATTTACCCATAATTAGTTTTTAATTGTAATGTAAAATTAAAATAATTGTACAATAGTATTAATTATTTTTTTTTTTATTTTATTATATTATTTTGTATAGGTATGTAATGTATATGTAATATGTATGTTGCATATGTATTTATAAAAATAAATTTAAACTTTTTAATAATTTAAATGTAAAATTATTTAATACAAATATTAATGTATGATCAAAATATAAAATTATGATTATTAAATATACCTGTCTTATAAGATCCATTTCTGCAATTGACCCTTGGAACGCAAATCTAATTCTGTGAGCTTTTCTGCCCTGTTATTTTCCCAATTAGGATAGATTAATAGAGGCGGGTTCATTAACCCGTTTTTTAATTCCTGAAATGCATTTTCACACAAATCTGTCCATACAAATGGCGTGTTTTTCTTTAACAAATTTGTAAGAGGTTTTGCTATCCTGGCAAAGTTATCCACGAAACAGCGGTAATAATTCAATAAACCTAAGAAAGGTTTTATGCCTTTCTCGTTTAACGGTCTCAGATATTCTTTGATGCATGATAACTTATTCGGATCTGGTTTAACGCCGTTTTCGCTGATCACGTGTCTCAGATATAAAACTTCTTTACGTAAAAATGCGCATTTGTTTGGTTGTAATTTTAATTTATGTAATCGTAATCGTGTAAAATCCTGCTCTAATTTATTTTGATGATCTTTCAAACTTGACCAATGGACTACAATGTCATCGAGATACGCTGTACATAATTCCTCTAAACCCATTAAAATTGATTTCATAGCTCTAGTAAAAGTGGCAGGCGCGGAACTTAGTCCAAATGGCAAACGTAAAAATTCATAATGCCCGGATTTTGTTGAAAATGCCGTTTTATGTGTGTCCTCTTTATCTATTATGATTTGGTGGTACCCACTGGCAAGATCTAGAGTCGAAAAGTATTTAGATGAGCCTAATGATTCTAGTATTTCTATGATATTTGGTAGCCCATAAGCCTCATTTTCTGAAACTTCATTTAATTTACGAAAATCTACACATACTTGAAACTTCTGTTCCCCTCCTGCGTCTTTTTTCTTTTTTACCACAACTAACGGAAAATTGAATGGTGAAACAGAATCTCGTATTATACTTGCATTTTTCATCTATATTATTTGTTTCTCTATTTCCTCCAGATACGCATGAGGTAACCTATATGGACGTATATTTATCGGTTTTACACACCTATAGTCTGTACCAAATAAGAGCGCACCGGGCGGCGCACAAAAACCGGTCATATCACGCGCATGTCAGAGAGCGCTACCGTCGTGCGTTCCAGCGCCACCAGGGTCAACCGCTTATACAGAGTGTTATATTGTCACACCATTTTAACGGTCTTTAGCGGTAACACGTATTTTTGTTTTTTGTGCGCATTCGCTGTTTATTGAATTTTTTTTGTTGTTTAATTTTCACGTGACACTATGGCAAATGTTTCACCTTTAACAAACAATCCTATGGGAAAGGTTAGTAAAAAAATATATACACATAATGTATTATGCATTATTATATACGTATTATAGTTTTGTCTGTATATTATACATTACTTAACATAGTTTTTTTTGTTTTTTATTCCAGCCAATTTCATCAGGTCAACGCATCATGATTGTAAATTCATATAAAATGGAATTAAGAAAAAATCCTAACCTAACTGTTCGAGAAGCTCGGATTTATATATCGAAACAACTTGGCATCGGACAACGAACAGTTTCAAATGTCATCAGCGAATATAATACTAACAAAACTGTCACCTCTCCGTGCAAAACTCGCATAAGAACATCATTCAAAGATAAGTTTGACGATTTACAGATGAACACAGTACGTTTTCATGTTCATTCATTTTGGTTTAATAAAACTATACCCACATTGGACAAAATACTGCAAGTTATTAAAGACGACGACACTTTGCCAGATATTTCCAGAATGAATTTACATCGTCTGTTGAAATCCATGGACTTCGTTTACACAAAACGCAATCGCAATAGTGCCCTTATAGAAAAAGATGAAATTGTTTTGTGACGTAGACGGTATTTACAAAATATTCGTAAATATCGTGAAGAAGGGAGGCATTTATACTATCTTGACGAAACCTGGGTCAACGCAGGCGACTGTACCAGCAAAACGTGGGTAGACAAAACAATTAAATCACCTCGTGATGCATTTCTTCAAGGTCTCACGACGGGGTCTCAGAACCCATCTGGCAAAGGTAAGAGGTTAACTGTTCTCCACATTGGGTCTGAAGATGGGTTTGTGCCAGGTGGCCTATTATGTTTTGAGTCAAAAAAAACGACCGACTACCACGGAGAAATGAATGGTGATACATTTTATGACTGGATGAAAAACATAATACCACGGCTTAAAGAAAATTGTGTCATTATAATGGATAACGCCCTGTATCACTCTGTAAAAAAAGAAAAAATTCCAAACACGACAAAAAAAAAAGCAGACATCACAAAATGGCTACAGGAAAAAGGTGAAGTAATCGATCGACCTATGGTGATCACTTAAATACTCGATATAGTAAAAACACCAAGACCACAATACGACAAATATTTAATTGAAGATTTGGCTGAAACACACAACAGGACAATTTTAAGACTCCCTCCATATCATTGCGAGTTAAATCCAATAGAATTGGCGTGGGCTAACGTGAAAGATCACGTTAAAAAGAACAACACCAGCTACAAGTTGAGTGACGTCAAAACACTTTTATTGGAAGGTATAGAAAGAGTGGATGAGAACATGTGGAAAAATTTTATAAGACACACTATGACGGAGGAAGAAAAATTCTACAAAATCGATTTTATAGTAGACGATTTGTTGTCTGCAGAAACAGAAAGTCTGACAATGACGGTTGGCGATACGTCTTCGGAGTCTGAATTCTCTAGCGATGATGAGTAATATTAAATATATTTTGTGTTTTTTTATTTTTTTTTATTTTTAAATTTATTTTTATTTTTTGTAAATAACTTTGACAATGTGTAAAAAACTGACTGTGTAATTTTGATAAAGTGTAAGAATACAAAACAAAATGTGTCCTATTAAATATTATTCTTTATAATCTACCCTATCCTATTGATATAATATAAAAATTGCAGTAGTATCGGTAGTAAAAACGTTTGTGTGTTCAATATTTTAAAAAAAAACAAAAAAAAGGTCTATTATTTTACTATGTAATACGCGGTAGCGCATTTTTACTACAACTCCCCGTATGTACGGCGGCGTCGCCGACGGCGGTAACATCGTCGATGACGCCGATCATAGCCGAATACGGCGACCAACCACAGAGCTAACAGACCCGTCCAGGGGAGTCCGGACGTCGCACTGCGATTCATTTGTATGCGCCAACGCGGTGCGCTCTTATTTGGTATATACTATATACTCCTAAACTTTTTACCTGTATGATAGGTCTATCTGACAATTAGCAGCTTTCTGTGGTAAGCTATACAATTGTAAAAAGCTTTGCAGTGTTTTTTTTTTTAATTTGAAACATGCCTACTATATTTAACAAAAAACGAATATTTCGATATGTTGGCAGTTTTTAATGAAGTAGGAAGGAGTACATTAAAAGCATCTCGTTTGTACTTGCTACGATACCCTCAGAGGAGACAGCCATCAAGAGCTACTTATGCGAACATAGATAAATGTTTACGTGAAAAAGGTAATATTAAGGATTTAAAAATTAAATGCTTGATCATAAAATATGTATAAGTGTAATTGTGTTAAAATTAATACTCAATACCAGTTATTAGTTAATACAATATCTCGTAAAAATAATACAAAAATTTACATTAAAATTAGTTGTAAAATAATTGTGGGGCGACAATGCAAAACATACTATTTGCATTTTACATATATTTTTTAGGAGAGGTCATTTTCTACTGTGTATTAAACAATTGATATATGTATAAATGTTGCTAAAATTTTTAAAAATAGATAAAAATCTAATAAATACATTTCTGTAGGTAAAAGTATTTTAAAATGTATCTTTTTTACTTAAATATAGTATGTTATATTTTGAATTGGATCAAAACGTTCTATTTCCATAAATTAAATTGTATAATGAATATAATTTAATATATTTTTAACCTGAGAAATTGAAATACTTTAACTCAACTAAGTGCTATATTAGACTTATAAATTTCAATTAAATTTCTATAAGCTAAGAAAATATATAACATATAGGAAACTGGTAGGATCTATTAATCATGTAGGTGGTGAAAGGAATACATGTTAGGTATAGACGTATAGTAAATATATTTAATATAACTTTTTTTTTATTAACTTTTAATGAATAAAAACTAAAACAAGATAAATAAAATATTTTAAGGAACACTTTCAGACTTGAAAAGTAATAATAGTATATCATTATGAATAAAAAAGTGTAGTAATCTTCATCATATAGATTTTCTTGCTCTTCGTTTTCAAAGTCTTCACTATTTTTGAAGATATCTTCATAAATTTGTAATTTAGATTGCCATGTTGATAATATTTTAAACAAAAAACTTTTATCATATATTAAAACCATCTTATTTAATAAAATCTAACATTAAAAAAAGAATTTTTGATAATAGTACGTTTTGCATCCATACATTCTCCGTCCTATACCATTAACATGGGAAATAGTTCATTTTGCATCATTGATGGAAATTGTACGTTTTGAAAAAATTGATGTAATTAGTACGTTTTGACAACATTCTTTCAATTTTTATCATGGAATCTATAGCAAATAGTACGTTTAGTTTCAAACAGTAAATAGTTCATTTTTACAAAATGTATACTGTGCAAATAGTACGTTTTGCTTCAATTGACTATTTTAAAATCGGTTATTGAATGAGAAATAGTACATTTTTACCTAATCTGACGATGCCAATCGATCCGCCGTCATTTCAAACATATGCCTCAATGTATAACTCCATTTTGACAAAAATGCAAATAGTACGTTTTGCATTGTCGCCCCACAGCCCACAATTAACAATTGAAACGGTACTTACTATAAGGTACTATAGCCGTTTACCATGAATATGAACACATCTATATTATATATATAATTATTCCTTTATTTCCTTTTATATAATCTTATATAATACAATATTAGGGGATGGGAAACACCTTTTCCGTTAAAATTTATACAATATAAAAGGAGTTTACTTTTTTACAAAATAATGGATGGATCAGAGTATTTGAATTAGGCCCGCTCAAATAAGTGGCGTCTACTCACAATCTCTGTTCGGGTTGAGCGAGGCCTAGACAGACGCGCTTGGGGGGGGGGGGACTTGTTTTATCAAGGTTGTCCTGAAAAGAACAATGTATTTCACAACTTGATACGTCTTCTATTTGTTTTCCCAAATGGTAAATCCTCGCGTCCGGTTGATAGTTATTGTCTAGATCTCCTCGTTGCTGTTTGTTCTGCCGGGCCAAATCTCTGTGTCGCACGGATCTCTCGATGGCGCATCGAGTATCCGCGCCGAAGTTCCGGACTAAGCCATCCTCCGACGTCGGATATAACGAGAGGTTACCACTTTGTTGATTCCGTGGACAAAGATATATTGGCAACCGGCAATGTTCCGGAATTTTCGTTGGATCGTGCGATTGATTTGTGGCGATGCTCTATGAGAGTTACACACAGGATCGTACCGGTCGTCGTTCGCTGGATGAATCTCTTGAGGTTTCTTCAGATCTTCATTCTTCGTTGTAGTTTGGTCGTAGCTTGAAAAAGGAATGAGAGTGTACTGATGTCTATGCCGAATCTTACTAGAATAAGTACTGCTATCCGTACCGACTAGTAAACACCTGCAATATCCGGTTGCATGTTGTGTTTTCTCTCACGATGGATTTGATGATATCTCCGAAGTTTTTTGGGTTACAACCATGGGGAAGATAATATAGTTGTCTTCGTCTTGATTTCCCCTATCCGTTGATGTACTTTTTATGTTTATATAGATTGTACGCTTACAACTACAATCTTAATTATTTAAATAAATAATAGGTAAGTACTCACCAGATCACCGCTATTTACACCAAAATGGCAAAATATAAAATTAGTAATTACGGTATAGTATAAGTATAATATAATAAAAAACTGAAAACACTATTTTCGGTTGGTTCTCCTTCTCTTCAGTGTTCAACGGACAATATTAGACGTGTTCGGAGACTGAGAAGGAATGAATAATAATATTATCATTATTAGGGCAGAGGACTTATAGCTCTAAAAAAGCTGCAAATATGCAAGCACTTATGCACTTAAAAACCCAATAATATGCACTTAAAAATTTTTTTAGCATTTTTATTTAAAAGTAAATAAATAAATAGCATTTAAAACAAGTCAAACTAATTACATAGTTTAAATATACTTTATATCATAGCCAAATAAGCAAAATACATTTTTCTTAATTTTATACTTCTTCTTCTGGCACTATAAAAAAAATAAAATCCATGGTTTAGTAAAAATAATTTTAGCTGATAAATATTTAATTAATGTTAATAATACTTTTACCTTGAAAATTGCATTGAACGATCAAATGTTTTTTTAAATTTTCAAACTGAAAAGATTGTCGGTTGTCTGCCAAAAGAACTTTGAACATTGAGAATGATCTTTCAACATCGACAGAGTTAACTGGAGCGTATTTAAAGTAGATCAAATCGTTTGTGCTTAAATTTTCGGGTAGTTCGTCCATTGAAGTTTCTTCGCCATTTAAAATGTTTGAAATTCGAATTAAACTTTGATATCCAATATTTTTTTTCAAAACATCATTCATCTTTTCTTTAACAACTTTTCCAATTGGACCAGGGACTTGACTCAATTTCAAACTAACATTTTGCACTGCACCAATAGCATGACTAAGTAAAATATTTTTTGCTTCAAGACTGGTAATTGTATCAGTTAAAAATCCAAAATGTGACTTGATAAATACTAAATTGGCCGCATGGCTTGCTTCAGAAAAATGCTTTTGTGATTTTGCAATAGAAATAGCGTCTTCTTTATCCAAAGCGTCGACAATAGATTTAATAATTTCAAGGTGTTCACAGTAATACACAGCGGCTCTTATCCACGTCCCCCATCTTGTTAAAATAGGTGCTGGTGGTAGTGGAATATTGGGCGCTTTGTCTTTAAATATTGCAACACGATAAGGCGCCTTCAAAAATACTTTTTTGACATTTGCGATGATTTTATCGACTTTGCAGTAATTTGAACGAATTTTTTCAGCAATAAAATGAAGCCCGTGCACAATACAAGTAACATGAATAACTTTAGGATAAAATACTTGAATTGACTTCCCGGATTTCACCATATAAGGCGCCGCATCACTTAAAAACAATAGGACGTCGTCGTAACGCACTTCTTCTGGCCACAATAGATGCATTGAATTATCAAATAATTTCGCAATAGTCGAATGATTAACTTTGGTCAGTACTTCGGAATTCAATAAAAATGTCTGGCCTGGACCATCGGTTTCAAGAGTACCGATTACTACGTTTGCAATGTATCGGCCTAATGAGTCGGTGGTCTCATCTATTGATACCCAGATCTTTTTACCAGTGATAGCATTTCTAATTTTATTTATAGTTTCAGAATAAATTTCATCGACATAGCCTTTGCGTAGAGTAGTAATGGCCGGAATTTGTTTCCCCGTATATTTTTCCAAAAATTGTTTAAATTGAATGATACCTAGCTTATTAAGAGGTATGTTGGCTGATAGCATTGCAGAACATAAGTCTTTATTGAAAGATGATTTTTTAGAATTACTCACCAATTGTTGTACTTTTCCCAATTCATGTACATTTTGGTTTTTTTCTTTACGCATAATCGATTTTTTGTGTTTGTCTGTATTAAGGTGTTGCGTAACATTAAACCGTTTTTCACTTCCTATTTTAACGTCACAATACTTACAGTACAGGACTTTACCGTCGGTCGAAAACGTACAGGCACCAAACTCAGACACAAAACATTTTAACCGACTACTTAAACGCTGTTTATCTTTCGGCATTTTATTACAAATAAAAACTTTCAAATAAATTTATAGTACGGATAATAAGTCGGCACGATAACACGAATGTACATTCCGCAGAACTGACTAGTGACTGAGACTAAAATATACTAAAATATTGATTATTATCGTTTATTGTCGTTTCTAGAAACGTTTTATAAATAAATCCTTATCGAAAAAAGCCCGCATTGTGCGCACACAGCTCACTAAGGCGGTGATGTTGTATGTTAGTGTACGACGTTAAATTGTTATCTATCTATTAATAAAATTAATTACAGCAAATTAATATTATTGGTATATCGGCGATTCTCTGCAAGCGCTTCTAGGAAAAATGTGTGCCACGGACAGTCAAAAACCATATTATTCGACAAAAATTTAAAATAAATAAATTTTTCTCCAAATATTTTGACTGTATTGTTTAAAATAAAAATGTCGATGTGGAAAAAATTGAATTAAGTTAAATATGTCTTAAAAAGTATAAAATAGCGTATAAAAGTGTAAAATATGCCCTAAAAACAAAAAAGACTCAAAATATGCATTTATATGCAAAATAAAATTTCAAAACTAGCTTTGTGAAAACATGAAACGTATTTGTTTCGTACTCTGCTATTTTTGTGACTGTGTAAAACAAATATGCAAATGCTACAAGTCCTCTTCCCTAATCATTATTATCAATAGTAATACCGATTTCCACCGTATTTCATGGGTTTTACCACTAATTTTAGACGGGTGTATTAAATATTCGAATATCGATAGTCCGCACTCCGCAGTCCACGTAGCGGCGTCTTGACTTTTGAATTATCTATATATAATATTATATAATTGTATGTGTAAAAATAGTTCAGCCTCTGTGTAGTTATATGCACTTTGGCTATAAGTAGACTGGTACTAGGAAAAAAATATTATTATTATATCTATAGTATATTATACTAATATTTTATAGTGTCGCCTTGGTTGACGTGGTAGTATGGGCGGTATGGCCCTATAGTGTATACAAACTTAACAATGGTTATATCGGTCATCGAAAAACGCGCGTACGTTCGCGAGACTGAAATAGTGAAATTGAGACACCGATGACATTATTATTATTTATTATCCAATACATAATTCGTATTTTAATATTCGTATATTATATGAACTTAATTTGGTATTTTGTATGTGTGTAGCCATTATACGAAAATTACGAATCTTTTTAACAATACAGATATTTTCATACTTACCTAACACAGCGTACTTATCCATATTTTCACAGCTAATAACTAAAAAATACCTAAATATGTGACAATTATCTACGGAACGTATCGTATCACACTGTAGTAAACCGACGTTTTTAGCATAAAAACGTAGTTCTAAAGTCCAGTGGTCTAAAACTATATCACGCCACCTAATCGGACCACTGATGCTGTTTCCTGATTGGATTAGGAACATCACGCTATTTCTGTGACGTCAATCATCCTTTCCTAATCACGACATGTCTCATATAAATAGGAGCCCTCTTCACAGGGAGCTCCAGAGAGTATTTCAAACACAAACGTTTCACCCATGCTTACCAAGAGCCTCTAGAGAAACGTTCCACACACATATTCTCTCCGGTTTAGTATTTCAATACTAAGTCGAAACACTTCTAAAAAGTTTATATTTTAAAGTTATTTTATATTTAATAAATACTTAAAGTTAAATATTAATATTTTGTTATAAATACTAATTCAAACATAAACCTCTTCTCTTCCTCAACTACGACGTTGTATCAACATTGTGCATTCGTCGTTAAAGAAGTATTGCAGTAACCACGATCAAGTGACAGCGACTGGTTACTACATACAATTTGGTGTCAGATGTGGGGTCACACTTCATCAAACGAAAAATTTTGGCTTGCTCAAAAAAGTAGTTTGAGACCCACCGACGAATCCACATTCATGTGCAACCCGAAGGAAGGAAAGAAGAGAGTTCTGCGGAGCATAACAGCACGCAGGTCAATCCAGTGCGGACATTATTCAAGGGCGTCCAATAAGGGCAAATCAAGTTCAAGCGTCCAGCAGGGGCAAAGCTGAAAAGATGCTGGGTTGCATCTCAAAAAAAGAAAAATAAGCTAATACTCCAGGGGAGTTGCTCTGCGATTCATTTGTATGCGCCAACGCAGTGCGCTCTTATTTGGTATAGACCAGTGGTAGGCAAAGTACGGCCCACGGGCCAACTCCGGCCCGCGAAGAATTTAATCCGGCCCGCCGAGGGTCTATCGACACGGATAGTATATGGCCCGTATAGTATAAAAAAATTCCTAAAATATTCTCAAAATGATGGAAGAAAATAGTTTCAAATATATAAATGGATTGGCGTGGACTGTGCGTGGTCATACCCTCATAGCGTGGTGTAAGTAGATAGTAGGTACTATGATAATAGGTATATAATTTCCATTTTTGTTCATATTAATATATTTCCGGGATCTCGGTTTGGTGCGTCCTTATCGTAGTTATCGTATAATAATATGTATGATGTACTTATGTATATAAGTAAATTGATATAATGTTATTGTGTATCAGTCGTTATACCTAATCGTTATTCCTTGTGTTATAGTATGTATAGTACGTATAGTAAACTCAGTCGTCACTCGTCAGCTGTCACAGACCGAGCCGTACGTTTTACGTTAATTTTGTTTTAATTTTGTCTCTTGTTCTTGCTTGTTTGCGTAACACTTTATATTCATAATTGTTTAATAGAAAATCTGGTTTTTTGGAATAATGGCGTATAAAAAAAGAAAAGTTGATTCCGAGTGTCGTGTGTTTAAAGAAGAGTGGGCTTGGAAATACTTTTTTACGGAATACAATTGTAAGCCAGTATGTCTTATTTGTAATGAAGCAGTGGCGGTATTTAAAGATTTCAACCTTGCTCGTCATTTCAACACCAAACATTCAAAAACCAAATATGCTTTGATGGATGACGCAGAAAAAAAGATAAATGCGGAAAACCTAAAAAAAACAATATCTACTCAACGGAATGTGTTTATAAAGCAAAACACTGCTCAAAAGGCTTCTACACTGGCTGGATATGTTGTGGCTTATAAAATAGCTAAAAATAACAAACCATACTCGGAAGGAGAATTTGTTAAAGATTGTATGGTGAGTATGAGTAAAATTTTATGTCCAGAAAAAATTAAAGAGTTTGAGTCTGTCAGTTTATCTCGAAAAAAAGTAACAACGCGAATTGACGCCATTGCATTAAACTTGTCGACTCAATTTAGGCAGCGTATAGCAAACTTTAAATATTTTTCCGTGACGATGGATGAAAGTACGGATAGAAGTGACACTGCTCAATTATTAATATTCATTAGAGGCGTTGATGTTGAATTTAATATTACTGAAGAGCTAGCTTGTTTACAATCGTTAAAAGGAAAAACGACGGGGCAAATAATTTATAACGAATTTTCCAAAAGTCTCCAAAATTTAAATGCACCTATTTCAAAATTATGCAATATAACTACAGATGGAGCCCCAAATATGGTTGGGAAAGACGTGGGGTTTTCAGGTATTTTTCGGAACCAGAATTCTAATCACGATGTTGTATTTTTACATTGTATAATTCACCAGGACGTCCTTTGTAAAGCTGCAATAGATATTACCCATGTACTTAATGTAGTTTCAAAACTAATTAATACGATTCGATCTCGGGGCCTAGTACACCGACAATTCCAAGAATTTCTGATTGAAGTTGACGCAGATTACTCTGACCTTCTTTACCACACAAAAGTAAGATGGTTAAGTTGTGGGTATGCATTTGAACGGGTTTGGAATTTAAAAGAGGAAATACAAAATTTCTTAAAGAATAAAACAGACAAATGGTCTGATTTCCAAATCTTCGAAGACAAAGATTGGCGTACCGATTTTGCATTTTTTACCGATTTGCTCGAACACTATAATAAATTAAATAAAAAATTGCAAGGAAAGAACCAATTTATAGATGAGACTTGGGGTTGTCTGAAATCATTTAAAACTCAGCTTTTTCTGTTTTATAACTGCATGGAGAAGAACGATTTAACTCACTTTCTGCGTTTAAAATCCATGTCACCAGTGAGTGCGAACAAACTAAAAGAATTCAGTCAGGCGTTGAAAAAACTTCACACAGAATTTCAAACTAGGTTTCAAGATTTTAAGAACATTCAATCATCACTAGATGTTTTCTCGATGCCCTTTAATGTAGATCCAGAAAATGTATCTGCAGAATTGCAGTTAGAAATTATTGAAATGCAGAGCAGTACCCATTTGAAGCAACTGTTCTTGAATTCCACAAAACTAGATTTTTATAGAGCACTTCCGAAAGCTGAATTCCCAAAGATAATTGTTCATGCCCAGAAAATTATGGCGATGTTTGCGTCGTCTTATGTGTGCGAACAGACTTTTTCGACCATGAAATTGCGGAAAAACTCATTTCATTACATATCACACTTAGTTCTTCACAATACATTTCATACTGTTTCATATTCTGATATCTATCTTTATACATGTGCGTATCGGATTTTTTTGCCTTTATGAATTAATCCCGTTCTATAAGCAGAGATTGAATAAGATTCAAAAATATTTACTTGATCACGTGTAAGCTTTGAAGGGCTCTGACACAAGAGAGATGAATTTTTTGTACGGGTGCTACAATACTGCAATATAAACAAAACAGTGATTTTCAGTGTAGAAACAAAAATGCATAAAATTTGAAGACAATGACATATTTTAACCTTGCTAAAAATATATTTCACTAAAAATAAACTGATATCTGTGTAATCAAGACTAATATGTTAAGTGTTTTCACGTTTTATTGCTATATGAAGTTTGATAAAAAGGGATTGCTAATTTAAATTGTATAAAATAAACGTAATGACTGTATATATTTTTACATAAAAAAGGTTCTTTTTCTTAAGTATATAATCATGTTAAAGGGCACAGTAATAACTCAAAATATTTAAGTCCACTTCATCTAAACTTAAATTATTATTAAAACTAATCATCAATTTCATTTTCATCCAAAAATGAACAGTTATAAAATATTTTTCTCCATACCTTTTTTTTACAGGTGCAAATTAATGTTTTATTTGTTTTAATTGGTATTATTATATTAGTATAAATAAAAATGAAATATTTATATAAACACTTTAATAATTCAAAGTAAATTTGATTCTTAAACTTTTATATCTACTATATAAAATTAATCATACCGTAGAATACGTCGTAAAATGCTTATCGTATATTGGAGGTTGATCATCTGGTATCAATATTATACTCTGTAACCAAGCATAAATTTTCGACTTATCCATTTTTGAACTCGTTACAGCTGAAGTCACTTGTTCCTGAAATATTTCATAAATAATGTAGTATTTTTAAATTGAAATATTTCACTATTTTTAAGAACAAGTACCTACCATAGTCGTCATATCAGGAATTGAGCATGTTATTGGAGCTAAACCATATTTCTTACCATTTGAGTCACAATCGTTTAAATTTACAAAGTTAATTAAATACATATCCAATACTCCATTTGTTATTGTAAAATCGAAACCTTAAAGAACATAATTGGAATATAAAGAAAAAATGTACACAAACATAAAAGATAACAATGATTTATTGATCTCGGAAATATCGTTTTAGATTTAATTGTCTTACCCGAAGGATTACTAAAGTTCGTATAGGAATATCCGTCTATGGTTAATCCAAATATTATTTTATGTTTTACTTCTTGTTTTACTTGACTAACAAATGTACTTATTTTTTGAGGAAAATTTTCCATGACACCCTTAAAAAAAATATACCAATCAATCAAAAACAATACTATGTTATACATTAATTTTTTTTATGTTGTGTTGACTAGATTTTTTAACAATGAGTTAGAATTATATATCTAAGTGTCACAAGACATTTAAATATAGCTATCATTAATTGATACATGTGATCAGTGAAATATAAATAATGGGTAGGTACACTCAAATACCAAAATTATAAAACCATATTATGTTTTAAAGATTATTTTATAACTCTAGTAAATATAAATTAGAAATATTTCTGTACTGATTGAATAATAATCTTATAAAAGAATCTTTCGAAAATTGATGAAATACTTAATTTTCGTTTTCGGGTATTTTATGTAGTTATAAAAATGAACCGTTTTTTTCAAATATAATTTATAAAAGTTAGTACTGGGAATTTACAACTTTATTCATCATCCCTGTAATTGCCAAACTGAAATCATTTTTATCATAACAAATCAGGGTAGTTGTATTCTTGTTGAAAATTTTATTTCAAAATAAAATCATACATAATTATAATATAAGAACTTTAAAACTCTTGTTTAATTTAGCTAACTTCTTTTTTACTCACATAAATTTCATATACATTCAAGAGAAGACCACTAATTTTAAAATCATTTAAAAAATTGACTAATGGACCCATTGTATCTTTCTTTTCTTATGTTGTTGCTCATCATCTGTTGGACTATATACTGAGGGCCAATTATCATCATAATAGAATCAAGTTGTGTATATAAACAACCTTGTTAGCTGTTTTCAAAGCTCTCATTACACCTTTAAACATATAAGTTTTAATATATTTAGACAAAGTATTCAACTTCTTATCAACTATTTTATGTTTAATATTTCTAAATTCATTTTAGTTGCCACGAACCGTCAGTATCTATTCCATATCATTAAACAATTATTAATTTAATGGCTTACCGACAAAAATAATACATCAAATAACAACAATTATCATTTGATCATAATTTATTTATTATTTTTGTTTTAAATATTTTTGAATGCATGCACTGGTAATATTTTCTTTAGCTGTTGCTAATTATTTAAACACTTACAAATTACAAGTTTGATAAATATTTGAAAATAAATATTAAATGACGATTTATTAATTTATTATTCGTTACTTTACTATCATGATATTTGTTTAACGTTTTAGTATATAATTCACTTCTTTTTAGTCTATACTTCATAATTTTATATTTAATTAATGAAAAAGATTTTCACGCATGATTCTGTTTAATATCATGAAAATTTTATATATATTATCCTATTTTAATATGTTGGAAAATTGTTTATAATGCTCTTTAATTTTCATAAGTAATTTCCTTAGCTTATTTGTTCGTTTTATAAGAATGGAACATTATTCCAGTCTAACTAATAAATGGTTTGCGTATTAATGTTTCTTATATAATATTACCTTATCAGATTTTGTTGTATGTACATCAACACCATCATTCCTGTCAAAATCATATTGACCTATACAAATTACATCACAACCATCTGGTATTTCGGTTACATTGAACTTATAACCACTGTGAGAGACACTTCCAGCTATTTTACAAATTATTTCGCTTGGCCACTCATTTTAAAAACAGCATGTATACATAAATTTAATCTAATTATACATAAAGAGATAATACTCAATTTTTAAATTAAAAATAAATATTCTGTTAACTTTTCTGTATTTAGTGGGTGATGTTTATAAATAGATTTGATAAGTTACATGTAATTTATATTTTAAATTTAATCAAAAGTAAATATCCATAAACTGCGAATAATTCTGATCAGAGTTGTATTAGCCTAATTTAATCTAAATATTACGAAAACTACATTACGTATCGTAAGATGTACTCATATACGTTTAAATGTCAAGTCTCAATACTTTTGAATTATCACAAAAATATCTAAAATCGTTATCTGTTCAAGTATCTAAATTAACCGTCTGAATTACAGCTATAAATATTTATTGATGTGTAAACATCTATGCTATCGGGTTTGTAGTACAACCTTCTTGGGGAATCGAGCGTCAGGCGTAAGTCATGTAGATGTGACTGCATGAGTGTGTGTTATTATTAGTATTATTGAGGTATTACGTACCGGTATTCGCGCAAGCAACTTTAATGCTCACATGTATAATATGATTATTATTATATTATATTACGATACTTATTATATTATTTATATTATATTATATTATAAATTGAGATACGTCGTTACTATAGAAGTGCCATATTATTTGTTTCAGGTACACTAATGCCTATCAGTAACACCGGTTTCATGAAGAAAACACACTTGGAATATTATGATTATGATACCAATCGACACATTTTTCCATTGCAGATAACATGAAAAAATGAAATTTGAATTTTTGGAGTTATGCCGTTTGCTAAATAGGGTGACGATATATAATATATCATAATTAATAATATATATAAAAATACATAATAAATAATTATAATATATATAAATAAAAATAAAAAGTTAACTATAAATTTTAAAGAGAAACGCGATCTTGTATGATTAATGTTACATCATTATACAAATTCCCATTCAAACCATGACATTAAATTCTCAATCAAAGTCGTACTGCAGCTAAGATGTTTTAAACATCATTCATTGAGTACCAAAGAGCACTCATAGAGTTTTATTAGATTATTTGCATTTTGATAAAAATTATTTATTTATCTTGTGTCTTTATAGAAGGACAAAACAAAATACACAAAACAATCCCCTGATTATGGTTTTCATTTATCTGTTGAATATTATTATTTTGAGATGTAACTTTTACTTAAAATAATTTTAACAAATTACTATAATATTTTTTAGCATTGAGAATTTAAAATGAAGAATTAACTCCATATATTCATTGTTAAATGGTTAATAATAATTCTAATTAAAATATCCCATTTGAACATCTGTGATGTATATTTATTTAAAATATGTAAATATTATGCTAGGAATTTATATAGTACATGAGTAAATAAAATTAAAACATTATGATATAATTTATAATATGATAAATTTTATAATTAATATTTTGGTAATAATATTTCACAACTTTTATGGTTGTTACAGTTGATAGCAAACACGTTTATGTGTGATAAAGTTAAACACTATGAAACCGGGTAATCACTCATCCGACTAGTAGATGTAGTCGTTACTTACTCCCAGTCGCATTCTACAACTGGGGTAGCAGTCTTTAAATCTTTTTATTTTAAACTGATAGCGAAATACATAAGTATTTTTAATTATATTTGCATTTGAGTTAGAATTTTGACATTCGTCAAAATCACTAAATTGTTGTAAGGAATTCCATAAAACTTTTTATAGCTAAATTTTAAAAATGCATAAAATGTTCCTGATAATCATCTCATATTGATTTAATAAATGGAAAAATATAAAGGAAATTATGTTTATTTAATACTAATGTACGAGAGTACAGTAAGTCGTACCCATATATCTACCTTTTAAATATTAAATGGTTATGATTAGTTATATATTTATATATTAATACTTCAAAAACTCTAAGTATAATATCATTACATAGAAACTAATAAATTATAAAATTTACTCTACAAATTTAATTTAAGTATAATAAATGAAAATTTATTGGGAAATTAAAAATATATATCATTGTTTTTTGATATAAAGTATATACTGATAGCTTTTAGGCAATAATTTTTTTATAATTCTGTGTTCGTCGTTAAAATGGAAGGGCATCAAACAGTTGGGAAATATATTGGGTAACATCTGGAAAGCAGTTTTATAAATCAAAATCATTTTCATAATGTATCAATCCAGTATTTAATGTGTTGCTAGTTTTATTCTATGTACCGTACAATGTCATATAACTATAAAACATATATAATAATCTGTGTAACTTTACTATTAATTTTTATTATTTTTAAACAATAAAATTATGATCTCATGAAGTCCTATATAGACGATTTAGCTATTATGAATCAGGAAAATTATTGTGGTTCCTAAAGTGAATGTACTAACAATTTATTACTAATTTGCATACACAAACAGCAATACGTAACTG